GAACCTGTAGTCTAGTTGGGCAATTATAATATGTATTGTTATTCTTCTTTGATGGAAGAATATGGGGTAAGAACTAAAAGGGTGAGTTGCTTAAAAAGTAGAAAAACTAGATTTTCCTGCTAGGAAATCTATAAGAACAGAAATCAAGTTATCTTGAGACTAGAATTGAAATGCCGGAATCACAGACTTGAGTCCCTTATTTAAACCTCTTCCAAGTTACTGAAGATGGCATGATTTTTCTTTTAAATTTTTTTTTTCAAGTATAGACTATGAGAGAGAGAGAGAGAGAGAGAGAGAGAGAGAGAGAGAGAGAGGAATGAGAGGATGTATATCAGTTCTGAAACCAATGATTAATTTCTCTGTATAAAAAACTTTCTTTCCTAACCAGCATTTCATCTGAGGTAATAATGACACATTCTCTTTTTTGAAATTAAATTTATTGGGGTGGCATTGGTTAATAGGATCATATAGATTTCAAGTATACATTTCTATGATACACGATCTGTATATTGCATTGTGTGACCACAACACAAAGTCAAATCACCTTCCATCACCAAATATTTGGCCTCCTTTACCACCCTCACCTTCCCAGATGAAATGCTGGTTAAGAAAGAAAGATTTTTTATACAGAGAAATTAATCATTGGCCACAGAACTGATATACATCTTCTCATTTCTCTCTCTGAATCTCTCTCTCCCTCTCTCTCTCTCTCTCTCTCTCTCTCTCTCTCTCTCTCTCTCTCCCTTCCCCTCGCTTTCTCCCTTTCTTCCTCTCTCCATCTCCATCTTTATCATTTCCTCTATTTCAGGGAAGAGTACTCATGTCAGATATTTGTGAAAATCATACATATTCCTGGTCAATTCAGTCGTCTTCTCTGTTTTGGGTGATTTAAATCATGCATAGTAATACTAGCATTTCTTAGCTGTTGACAGATGAGTAAGTCTCAGATTGTGTACTTCATAGGAATTACAGGGGGGTTCCCAAGAGCTACAAATTCTGCAAAACAGATCCCTTAAGTAAATAATGGAAAATGATAGTTTATTTTAAGTCCTTTGAAAAGTTGAAAAATGATGCAAATGGAAAGGACTCATCTGTTCTTAGTCAGCTTTTGACCTTTGACTATATAAACACAAGAAACACATGAGCTAGATAGAGCTAGGAAACAGTGTTCCTTCCCTGCTATCTAGAAGCACTAAATGAATCTTTCCATTGAGCTTTACAGAGATATATGAGAGCACCGTCACACAGAACACTTGATTTAATAATGTATTATTAAAGAAGAAGGCAGTTTTTAAGATCTTGGCAATCTCGGCAACTTTAAAAAATCTGTTAAGTGAGTAAACTGGAACAGATCTTTTCTAGTTTTTTTTTCTCTCTCTCTAAAATGTTAATGTTGGGACTCATCAAATCAGACTATCTCAGAGCCCACACATGCCATCTTGACATTAACACACAACAGTTAACACACAGTAGTGTGCAAGTCCCCGCCAAAAGCATCTTGCTTCTACTAAAGACAACAAAGGCCCTAGCACTGACATGAAGTGCCCTGTTACTATGCACTGAAATTACCTGGTAAGAAGTGGCCTCCAGAGGAATAGGGGAAATGTCTCCTCCAATCTTTTTTTTTTTATCTGAAGAATCAGTTTAGGAGGTTATTTGCCACCTTGACCTTTTAGCAGCTAATAATGCTTTTCTTCCACTTCTTTTAGGTGAAAATGTCTCTCCTAGAAATCCTATTTAAGGCAAATTCCTATGGAGCCTTCAAGGGGCAGCCCAACACTAACACCCCCAGTAAGACTTTGGCTCCTTCCTCTAAGTTCCAATTTCATCTGTATCATAATTGTTTCTCTGTAGTGTGTAAGATCTACCCAAGAAGGTAGCAACCGAACTCAAGGGGCTCACCTCTCCAGTGCTTTATTCAAGAACAAGATATGGTTGTTGTGGGTGGTTTTATTTACTTGGTGCAAGTAAAGGAGACAAGTCATTCATATCCAAAGCTCTGTTTCTCTGAAGGGAGGCTAAGTCATTGCTTATAAACACTATTTAGTCAATTACATGTTGATTTCTTATTTGCAGTTGGCTACATTTATCCTATTGAGTTCCTGTTAAATTCATCCTTACATCTAGTCTGCAAAATACTAAACCACATTTTTAACATTTAGCAAGAACAACATCTATATCTTACCTAATAATAGACAAGCATGTAAATTGACCATCCCTCCACTCCGTTCATCAGCCAATCAGGAGAGTATGCAAATTAACCCAACAAAGATGGCGGTTAATTTGTATACGTAGGAGCGAAGCAGCGGAGCGGGAGCGGCGAAGACTGAAGGCTCTGGCCGGAGCGAAGGCCTGGGTCCCGGGTGCTGGAGGAAAACTGGTGCCAGCAGCCAGGGGAAGGGAAGGCCTATTGCACAAATCTCTTCGTGCAACAGGCCTCTAGTATATATATTAAAGCCTAAGCAACCGTTACGACTAAATGACCAGAATGACCAGAATGACCAGTCGACCAGACACTACGATGCAGACTGACCACCAGGGGGCAGACGCTCAACACAGGAGCTGCCCCCTGGTGGTCAGTATGCTCCCACAGGGGGAGCGCCGCTCAGCCAGAAGCTGGGCTCATGGCTGGCAAGTGCAGCTGTGGTGGCAGGAGCCTCTCCCGACTCTGCAGCAGTGCTACCGAGCAGCAGGCACAGTGGGCCGGATGAGCACAAGCGGAGCGGCGCCAGCTCCTCCCTGGCTGCCTGCCACTTGGCACACTGCTACATCCCCCAAGGGGTCCTGGATTGCAAGCAGGCACAAGCAAGACTGAAGGAACCCCCTCATCCACCCCCCCCCCAGTGCACGAATTTGTGCACGGGGCCTCTAGTAAAACTATGAAGAAGATATGTACTGTTACTAAACTGAAGCCCAGAAAGACTAACTTGCCTAAAGTCACATAGCTAGAAAGCAGCAGAGAGAGGATCCGAACCAGCAGTCTGATTCTAGAGCCGATTCTCTTAACTATCATGACAGGTATGCCAATGAGACAAAGAAATCAGCTGAAGGCACATCTGGGACACTTGAGGTAAGAATTATTTTCCTGGAAGCAGAAGTGGAATATATACAAGCATGGTGCCCACTGTAAAAAAAAAAAAAAAAAAAAGGAATTATTTTCCTTCTTGGAAAGCTGTCATCTACATAGAATACCTGGAACTGCTGCAGCTATCTTGTGAGTCACAGCTGAGTCTGGTGGAGGAGAAAGATGGAAGGTACTCAAGTTTTTGAGGACATCCTTGAGCAACTGAATTATCTAGCCTTGGAACTGTTCTACCTCTGGAATTCTTTTCATGTGAGATAATGAATCCAATGCTGTTTAATCTATTTTAGTTAGGTCTCCTGTTACTTGCGGCAAAAAGCACTCTCACTGATACACATACATATACACATAAATTCAACCTCAGGCATACAACACATGTAGGGAGGCCAAATATTGGCACCATGTACAGCTTTTCATTCAGCCAACAAATATTGAATATCCTTCATATGCCAGGTACATTGCAAATTGTTGAACAAAACAGGTTGGGAAGGGCAGGTTTTTGTACCTATGGAGGTTATAATTGTGTGGTAAATGTGGACATGAAAGTGAAAGCAGGCATATTTAGGGAAGCTATCATGAGGACTAATCTAGACTAGGAAGTTAGAGAAGGCCCTAATAGAATCTAACAAAAGCATACATACCAGATTCAAAGAATCCATGCCATATCAGTTAGTATCATCCACTTTTAGTGTGCATGTATTTAATTGGTGATATACTTTGGTTTTAGTTGTGTAAGAACTGTAAGTACAATGTTGTGTGCATAATTGTGTTGGGTTTATATGTATTTAGGTAACTTCATAATAAAATAATTTAAATCAGCACCAGAATATTTTCCCCTTTTAAAGGGGAAATACTGCAGCCAATTTTGGAGAAGCAAACTAATATAAAAGACAAAACAAAGGAAAGGGAACCAGGGTATTTGGCATCTATTTCTAGCTCACTGGCTGGCAGCCCTCTGTGACTTGAATTCCATAATTTGTAAAATATGATTCATCAGGAGTTGCAATAGAATATTTTAGAGTGTTTAAATTAATGAGGAATAAATCCTAAAAACCCTTGCAATGCTGTGAACGTTCCAGAAGTTATTCATAATTATTTCTTTGTTATAGCAAATAAAATGGGCAAAATAAAGGAGGTGGATACAGGACATGAAACACAAGAACAGAAAGCAGAGGAGGGAAAAATCAGGAGGCAGTAAGTGGCTGGCAAACCCTCCACAGCAGGAAACTTGCTGTGCATATTGTAGCTGTTACTGAATAAGTACTTACTGGAACTTCCAGAGATGACCAAACATCAAGAAGGAAGTGATTTTTTTTTTAAGTTTTATTATGGAAAATTTCTAACATGCACAAAAGTACCAAGAATAGTAATGAGAACTACCACGCAGCCTCAACAGTCAATCACTCGTGCTCAATCCTGTTTCATTTATATCTCCCACCCCTCTTATCTGAAGCAAACTCCAGATATCATATTATTTCACCCTTAAATAAGTCGGCAAGTATCTTTAAAGCAACAGAATGGGAACCAAGGCATTTGGGGGGTCTATGCCTAGCTCACTCGGTGACAGCCCTCTGCATCTTCAATTCCATAATTTGTAAAATGATTTGTAGGGAGTGAAAGGGATTTTTTTTTTAAGTAACCACGGTAAAAAAAAAAAAAAAAAAGAAAGAAAAAAAAAGATGATTACATCCTAATAAGGCTCTCCAGAAGGGAATCTCACCCCATAAATCCAGGTCCCGGCTTCATTCCCCCAAGAGCCCAAGGCGCCCTTCCTTTCAAGGCTGGGACCCCAGAGCAGCTGGCAAGACCCAGCCTTTTAGGGCGCTGGCTGGTCCTCGCCCCGCCCCTCTCCCCGGGAAGTCTCCGCCCACGAGGCCCCAGCAGCCCCCGCGCGTCCTCGCGCGCCCCCGCGGCCTCGGCGTAGGGAGCGGCTCGCCGCCCCGGACGCGCTGGGCCTGGCTCCGGAGCGCGCACGCCGTGCGTCCCGGGCTCGCCGGGGATCCGCGCCGGGCGCTGCGGGGAAAGACTGACAGTTTGGTCCGCCATGTTCTTCGCCGCGGCGTTCCGGGCCCGGGCGGCTGGCCTCACCGCCCAGTGGGTAAGGAGGCTCGGAATGAGCCCGGGCACTGGCGCCGCCCTTCTCCCTCTCTCCTTGCCTCTTTGGTGGTGAGCACACGAGAGCCCTGGGCTCCGGGCCAGCCTTCAGGCGGCGGCAAGGACACTGCGGCCTTCGCCCTCTCCTGGGAGAGGTTGCTGCAGCGAGGAGCTCCGGGGGAGGGTCGGCAGATTTAACGGAGGCGGGTGCGTGGCCTCCTCTGCAGGACGGGGAAGTGCCCGCCTGATTTTGTGAAGAAGAGGATGCAGGAGGGCCGCTCGGTGTTGTGTTTTGCCCTGTTTCACTGTAGCGCCTGGGTCGGCCTAGTGCCCGTGCTCCCGAAGCGGGCAGCTGGCACGGCGAGCCTGGTGCCCTTGTGGCCGTCGGGTCGCATTGTTCTGGAGAGAACTCTGGGTTGTAGGTCTGGCTTGCTTGGTTTAGGAGCGTCTCCCGAGGCCAAGAGAAGGATGACCACAGTGTTTTCTTTTGTGCCTTGCATATCGGAAAAGTTCGGCACGTTCGTATCGAAGGACGTAAAAGAACAGCACCAATACTGCACAGCAGGATTTTAGAGCTTGAATGGTGGTTTTGAGATCCAACTGCATCTCATTTTAGGCCAAGAAATGGAATCTCAGAAAGGTTGCAACATTCAAGTTCACTTAAAATGCAGATCCCAGAAACTGTAACCACGGGGCATTTACTGGAAAGAACGCAGCCCTTTTGTCTCTGCAGTAAAATAGAAGGGTTGATCAGTTCGCAGCGGAAGAGAGGGATGTAGATGGTGCCCAGGAGTGTAGAATGAGCTCGGGGCTTTAGAGCGACACCAGAGTTTGGATGGTGACCTCACTGCGTTTTTCGCGTTGTGACTTTGGCTGTTATTTTTCTCAGTTTCCTCAGTTGTAAAATGGGAATACTGTAATGTGCTGAGTTTAGTCTTTTAATAAACGTTTGTGGTCCCACTGTGGGTCATGCACTGATGGACTCCAGGTTACAATGTGGGTAAGGAGGATAGGTGACACTTGGGGACGACGTTCTATGTGCCAAGCACTGTGTTAAATATTTACGTTCTAAATCTCGTTTGTGAGGTTGGTACTCTGATTTCCCCATTTTACATAATCAGATTTAGACAGCCCCTGTTCTTGTGGCGTTAATAGTCTTGTATAAGAGGAAAGACAATGCAAGAAAAGACTATTGATAGTTGGCAAGAGAAAGCTTGAAGGTATGAGAAGCACAAGCTGTGTTGCTAGACTCCATTGTTGGGAGGTAAGGTGAGTTCCAAGATGAAATGAGAGAGGTGGCAGGGCCCAGATCTTGGAGGTCCTTGCGTGCTATCCTGAAGAATTTGACTTTATCTTAGAGGCAGTGGAGAATCAGTGAAAGGTTTTAGAGGAGCAGAGGGGCATGGTCAGGTTTCTGCCTTGGATGGATCACTGGATGGGACTGAAAGGAAAATAGGTTTGATGGGAGCCAAAGGCAGGGAGACCAGATTAGAGGCTCTTGCAGAACCCCAGGTGAGACTAATGAGGATCAGACCTTGTCTACTAATAGAAAGGATATAGAATACAGATAGATTTTGGTTTCTTTTGTTTTTGAGGGAAGAGGTTAGAAGGTGTAAATTGAAAAACAGTGTTAACTGAAAAAAAAAACTTCAGGTAGTGGAAGAAAATCAAATTGGTGGGTTTTTTTTAAAATATATATTTTTATTGATTTGAGGGAGGAATGGAGAGGGAGAGATAGAAACATCAATGATGAGAGAGAATCATTGATTGGCTGCCTCCTACATGCCCCACACTGGGGATCAAGACGGCAACCTGCGCATGTGCCCTGACCGGAATCGAACCATGACTTCCTGGTCATAGGTCGACATTCAACCACTGAGCCACACCAGCCAGGCAAATCACATTGTTGTATGCTAACTTTGGCAACTTTCTCTTTTTTTATTAATCATTACCTGGTATGTAGTATGTACCTAGTAAATATTTGTTGAGTTGATGAATAAGTTTAATTTTTTTGTTCATTTTCCCCTCAATTTTATTGAGAAATAATCAACATACATTACTGTAGAAGTTTAAGGTATACAGCATGATGGTGTGATTTACAAATTTAATTTTTTAATTACACAAGTAACATTGTCAGAAAAATATAATATTAAGAACAGCAAATAAAATAAGCTCAAAAAATGAAAATCACCCATAGTCTCATCAACTTGGAAATTACCAAAATGTTTAATATTTTGAAGTCTGCAATTAATAGACCTTAACAGAACTTTAAAAAAATCAGGTGATATTGTTCACACAGTTTTGTAGCCTGTTTTATTCCTCATAATACGTTTTGATCAGCTTTCCTTATCAGCAGACATTTTATACGGTCATTTTTAATGCTGCATAGCATTCCATTGTATGTTCTATAATTTATATAACTTGGCCCGTCTTCTAATATTTTACAAATAGTGGGATATCAGATGACCTAGGGAAAGTATGAATAAAGAGGTTCCTAATAAAATTGCTTTCCTAAAAGAGAACCCTTTAAAGAAACCATTTACATTTTCAAACCATTTACATTGCTTATTCTGTTATAATTTATGCTTTGTTAGCTAGCTGCTGTTTTCTTCAGCAACAGGCTTTTCAGCTCATCATTGCTTAAAAAATATCAAGAACTTAGTACTATGTCTAGAATTGCTTGAAAGACACTACTTCTATAACCTTGAGCCATATTTCTTAATCTCTTTGATCCTCATTTTCTTTTCTGTAAAGTGCAGTAATACCTTGAGTGATTGTCAAGAATTGCCTAAAAATTATGAATTATGGATGAATAGGTACTCAGAATAGACTTTTCTTCTTTCCTTCAGTAATTGTCTGTGGCTTTCTGTAATGTTGACACCACTGTATACAGCTCATTACTGCCTCACACCTAAGTCAGTACTTAGTTTTGTAGGGGTGAGAGGATTGTGGCATTTTCAGGGGTTGTGTTTTCAGTTTTAGAATTTTCATGTTTCATTTTTATGGTTTCTATTTCTGACTTTTCAGTCATTGATATTTTTCTTTATGTCCTTAAGCAGAATTGCAGCTGTTTTGAAATTGTCTGGTAATATCCATTGATTTTTTTTCTTGAAAATGGGTTGTTTTCTTTTGTGTGTATGCGCATATGGTTTTTTTGTTGTTATTGTTTGTTTGTTTTTTATGTTGAGTGATTTTGGATTGAGGATTGTATGTCATAGAGGCTTTAGATTTTGTTAATTCCTCCAAAGAGTTGTTGTTGTAAGCAGTTAATGTAATTGAACTCAAACTGCAATTCAACTCCCTTGAGGGCAGCAACTCAGATATTGGTTCAGTTCTTTCACCAGAGCTGCTTGGAATCTGCCTCATGAGCATGAATGATTTGGGGTCATCCACAGATTTTGGGTTTTCTCCTCGATATTCCTTTTTTGGGATTTCCCACTTTCCCATGCCTGTGATTGTCCCAAACTCACCCTGTGTTTATTCATACCATCAAGGTTGCAGGTTTTCCCTTAGGAGTTTACTGCCCTGTACTGTTGAGGGTCTGCCTTCAGGCTAAAAGATGTAAGGAAAAAACAACTCACTTCTCTTCTAAGTATAGGCTTCCCCTCCCTCCTGTGTTTGCATGCATTTGGTTTTTCTCCAGTGCTTTCAGAAAGTTTTTTGTCCTCTTATTTTTTAAAAGAAGTATTTCGTCCAGAGTTTGTAATTGTTACTCAGTGGTTTGGACTGATAATATCTATTCAACTACACTAGAAGTAGAACCTTCTGTGGTGGCATTTTTCTTTCTAAATTTTAAGTTTTATAGAATGAAATGCTCTCATTCCATTGGAGACTCATTTTTTATATATTGCTTTTCTTAATTTTCTGTCATTGTTGAGAGTATTACAGATGTCCCCATTTTTCCCCCTTTGCCCCCCTCCACTTGACTCTCACCCCACACCAGGCCTTCGCCGCATTATTGTCTGTGTCCATGGGCTATGCACATATGCATATAAGTTCTTTGGTTAACCGCGCCCCACACACCCCCAGCGCCCCACACACCCCCAGCACTGCTGCCTTCCTCCCTTCCCTCTGAGATCTGTGAATCTGTTCCCTGCTTCCATGTCTCTAGACCTATTTGTTGATTTTTAAACCTGATTTTGCAGTGTCCGAAGGTATCTCCATTTTGCCTTAAAGATTCTAAAATTTTTAAAAGTAAAAAGAAAAAAGGCATTTGTGTTAATTTTCTATTGCTGCTGTAACATTACCACAAGTTTGGTGACATAACACAACACAAATTTGCTGTCTTATGATTCTGTAGGTTAAAAGTCTGACATGGTCTAAAATCAAGGTACACTTCTCTCTGGAGACTCTAGGGGAGAATCTGTTTTCTTAGCTTTTCCAGCTTCTAGAAGCTGCTCTCATTTGTTGGATGATGGCCCTCTTCCATCGTCAAAGCCAGCAAGGGCCGAGGAGTTTCTCATGTCACGTCATGTCATATCACTCTGGCCTTGCTTCTGCCATTTGTCACATATCCTTTTCTGACTTTGCTCCCTCTTCCAAATTTTAAGGGCCTCTGTGATTACCTTGGACTCTGATTATCCAGAATGATCTCCCTATTTTAAGGTGAACTGATTAGCAACCTTAATTCCAGCTCCTTTGCTGTGTATATTAACATATTCACAGCTCCCCAGAATTAGGACATGGGTATCTTTGAGGCATTATTATTCTGCCTAACACAGCCCTAAACAATTTCTTTTTTCAGCCTTAAACAATTTAGGGGAAAGAGAAAATGACAGATTTTTAAGTATTCAGTGAGGTTCAGTAGGCCATTTTTGGCATACTACAAATTCAGATCTTTCTATTGGATATGTGAACTCAGTCTCCATTTCAAATATCTAAATAGCTGAACTTCCCTCTCTTTAGCACTGTTTAATATCAGTGCAGTACATTTGGTAATAAATTGTAGGTTCATTTACCATGTTGGTCTGGTTTTCTATTGGGAAACCTTGACTCACCACTTTTGGAGTCAGGTCAGGAAGCATGTTATAAATCAGGAAATTTCTTTCAGTAAACATTAAGGACCATGTTCAAACACTTTTTGCTTTGCCTTGTTGGGGGAGAAGGAAAGCACCTTTATATGTGGGATACTTTGCTGGGTGTTACCCCATTTTGTAGGTGAGAATCTGAAGATGCCCAGGCAAATGTGCCCAACATTACATAGAATACGCCTGAACTGGGTTTGTTTGCAAGTCCTATTTTAAAAAAAATATTTTTTTAACCTACCTTTCTGAAATCGCTCAAGTTTACTGAGGAAAGTTGGTGAGTATGGTGAAGTTTTAAATCTAATAGGTGCTATAAAGTGGTTTCACTTTGCTTAAGGAAGAGAGACTCTGGTTCAGGGGCCTTAGAGAGATAAGAGGAGGAGGTTAACTTTGGTCATGATGGATGAGGGAGGTATAGGGTGACATAACGTTGTCAGTACAGGTAGCTCCATGTACAAGGACAGTGAATGTGAGAGAGCATGACACTATGGACAAGAATAACCTGCTGTGGAAGGTGAGACTGGAATAGGTCACAGAGTAGAGGCCTTTGGTATGTCATACCACAGAGTTTAGATTTTATTCTGTAGGCAGTGATTTTAGATTGATCCCCACCACGGCCACCTCCTTCTCCCCCATCATAATTTTAGGACAAACATCTCTGGAGATGTGGAGAAGGGTGAGATTGCAAGGCAAGAGACAGAAGGCTATTGCTGTAATCTAAGAGGGAAATGAAAAGAGTTTGAACTGGGGATAGTTGTAAGAAACATGAAGTAGTATGAAAAACAGAATTGAAAAGTTGTTTAGGTAGAATGGGTAGGACTTGGTGACTGTCTAAAATGAGAGAGAGTAAGTGAGAGAAGGGGATCGTGGAATGTTTTTCATGATCATAGTTTAAGCCACTGTCTGTAATGACTGTCTAAAGCTGAATTACCATTGGGTTAAAAGAAATATTTTGTTACTTTTTTTTAAGCAAGGTGAGGCATAATTTTTTAAAAGTTGTCATGAATAGCAAATTGACATAAAGATAGGAAAAATGTAATCATAATATGGCATTTCTCTGCATCAAAAAGTTACTAGGTTTCCTTGGGGATCAATATAGTAGGCAAACATATTTGAAAATTTCAAAGGTGAAAAGGTGCAGAACCTACCTATTCGTAGAAGTATATGACAAATCTATGAATCCTTTCTGTAGAGAAGCAGTTATTTGGAATTAAATCTCAGAATTACATAGCTATGATGGCTAATAAATTTAACTATCAGGAACAGGTAAATATATGATTGTGTTATATCACTACCTTTACTTGTTATGTTTGCCTTCTTTGAATTGTTCAACTCTTCGCCAGTTCCATACTTGGTAATCCAATGTTCTACCATCTGTGTTTAGTAGAACTCAGAAATTGGAGGATTTCTGGACCATAGTTGAACTGCTTTTGGGGGTAGTGGGTGTTGGGTGGGGGAGAGGTGGAGAAGGTAGGAATGATTGGAGAAGCAACAGAGCAAAGAGAAATGAAATGCAAAGGAGAGGGGATTCCAGTGGGTTTCTTCCAAACAATTGAGTATGGTCAGTCTATAGAGCATCCATCATAAGCAGCTTTCTGAAACTTTTTATGGCTGGAGTTTTTAAACTAATTTAGTAAAGAATTGAAAAGGAGGATGCAGTTGACTCATTAATACAGAGTATATGACTCATTTGTACAGAATGAAAACCTGTTTATGAATATCCACACTAAATGAAAGCTGGCCTCCAACTTGATTCACACAAAAGTGAAAGGCTGTAAGTTAATGGTATATTAACTCTTCAAATGTATGCTAACAGAGTGTTGTAGAAAGGATACATGACTGGGTTTGATCCTGGCTCTTCCACTAACTCTATGTGTGACCTTAGGCAAGTAAATAACCTTACCTTTGGACCTCTGCTTTTTTATACCTCTCCTAAAATAGAATGGGCAGGATGTAGTGTAGTAGACTATAACTCTTAAGATCTTTTACTTCTGTAAGTTGATTCGATTGTTTTTAGTTATGGATCTTAAAGTATTTCCATATGAAAAATTTCTTAAGGCTTGTGATTTACAAAATTTTCTTAAAATTTTTAGGGAAGACATATAAGGAATTTGCATAAGACAGCTGTGCAAAATGGAGCTGGAGGAGCCTTATTTGTGGTAAGTAATTAACTTAGATTTCTTCAGAATGAAAAGACTTGAAAATTTGGGTAACTTTGTTATAATAATCCAAATATCTTAAATAGCCATGTCTTTAGTATATCCTGGCCATTGTGGGAATTTAAATATAGATAATTGAATTCACTACTTTTAAAAAGATATATGTGGTTCCAGCTGAACTTCTCAAGTTTAAATTGGTACCAGAGCAAATCTAAGAATAAGAATTTAGATTATTATTCGGTGAAATTACTATGAATGAGCTTTAACCCAGTTTCACACTTTGAATTTTTAAAACTCAGTCATTTTGGTTCACTGAAGATTCTGAGGCTGCAACTTGGGGATTCCCAAAATGGCACTAGTTTGAAACTTACAGATTTTAGTAATAGAATGAATACGTTGGTAGTTGGCCTTTGTATTTTTGGTTCCCAGGGTTAACTACAGGTAAAGGTCAGTGAACTCCCTAGCTTAGTTGCACAATTCAGAAAATATAAGATAATTTATCCCTCTTCTCTGGCAAAGGTACAGTGTTCAGGAATTAATCTGGTGTTGTTTAAAGGCAATTTACTGGACTAGTATGATTTAGAGTTAGTGGTATAGTCTTGTAAACTGAGTTATTCCAAAGCTGAATCTTAATGTTAGTTGGCATACTATCGATAAGTAGATTCCTGCTTTATATTTTATCATCTTTATCAAATATGCCATGTGTTTGAGATCATTGTCCAAAGTTTTAATTTTCTTTTTTCTTGTGTGTCTTTGAAAAAGAACTGAGAGTTAACATATTAAGAGATTCAGTTCTGTGTTCATCTTACGTACAAAACATTAATCATTGTAAGTGTTAATCTTAGTGTGACTCATTTGATTTCCTGTTGACATGCCATTTCTTGTCAGTTTTTAAAGAGGGCTTGCTTTTTTATGAAGAAAAAAATAAAGCTTCTTGCTGTTGGCTAGTTTCTATTACAGAAAACTAGCTGTTGGCTAGTTTCTGTTACGTGGAGAAGGCTTTTGTACCTTCCCTAAAGTAAGTGAATCCCTTTGACAATTTGATACAGTCTCTTTGGAAAAATACACGTATGTTCACACTGAAAATTCTGTCTTCATAAGGCTTCCAATACTTAGTAATGTTTTGGTAATTACATTTGAAGATCCTATCCTCTAATCAAGTTGGATAACCCTTTGTTTTTTGGTCCTAACGCTACTTCTCTTAAACCATTAAATGGTAATTTCTAAAACTGTCTAAAATTTTGAATTCTGCTAACATTACTTGGGTAATTATACTCATCACATGTGTATTTACTAATTAGTTTAGCCATTCTTTTTGATGCAAGGATAGATTGATTTGTATTGTGTTGAAAATAAAGTGAAGAGATTAAATGAGCAACAGTAATGTGCAAAATTATTCACACTTTTGAGGAATTTTGATCATTTTGGAAAATATTTTTTTCCTTTTGTGTAGCACAGAGATACTCCTGAGAATAACCCAGATACTCCATTTGATTTCACACCAGAAAACTATAAGGTATGATAAATTAATGTTAAATTAATGGTACAAAATATTTAGTATCTTCCAGATGTATAAAAATGGATGCTTTTCCTTTGATACAGAGGATAGAGGCAATTGTAAAAAACTATCCAGAAGGGCATAAAGCAGCAGCTGTGCTTCCAGTCTTAGATTTGGCCCAAAGACAGAACGGATGGCTGCCTATCTCTGCTATGAACAAGGTACTGAATTCATTTTTGCCTTAGTTCAAAAAAAGGAGATTGTGTATGAAATTTCTTGTATAGAAGTTCCTCTGACAGCCATTAATGTCAAAATATAAGAGTTTGAATTCCTTTAATTATGTTTTCTCAAATTACGTATGTTTTTGTTGGTTCCCTTAGTAAAACAGAAAAAGTAGAGTTTTTTACCCTTGTAAGAAATAATAAAAGCATTATAATGAGGTTTTCTTTTTTCCCCTTCTTTTTGGTCATACTACAGATAAAAGATCCCAAATGTGTATAATTTGCTGTCAAGATATTCTGAAAATCAATGTACTATAAACACCAGAATTAAAGAAAAAGGATCTGCTTATAGCTAATGGTGAATCTTTACAATATTTTTATCTTTGGTAACAGGCTTTAACAAAAACCCATACAATATATGATATGTGACACTTGATTGTGGCACCTTGGAATCAGCAACCCATAACAGAAATGTTATGAGTGACCCATTTAAATGAAGTTAGTCTATTCATACATATTCAAGATTTCAGGTTTCTTTTACTAGTTGTATTTTCAGTACTAATCCAAATATCAAGTTTATTCCTATTCTATTAATATAACTGCATTTGTGTGGTATTGTGTTAAAGTGTATAGTTTACAAAGTGCTATACAAAACCATATACGGTATTTGATTCTTACGAGAATCACAAAACTAATAAGTGTGATGTAATGGAAAATATATTTGACTTTGAGTTAAGTCATTTTTCTTTGGACATCCTTCCTCAACTGCAAGTAAGATTTTGAACTAAGTAGGTATTTTCTAAGTGTTGTTATGATTTCTAAATGATAAGAGCTGGGGACTACTTCTAATTCTTTACATTTTCTAATTGACTTACAGGGATTCTGCTCTACTTTATTTCTCTTTTCACTTTTTAAATTTTATTTGGTCTGTTACCATTGTCATCTTTCTTGGAGAGTAGGAATGTCCTCAATTTATCTAATGGAATCCCAAGTGCAGATTTTTTATTTAGTTCATTTATCTCTTACTTGCTTTGTATAGTACCCTAACACTGTTGTGGACCCTTAGTATTTTTTTGACTATGAAAAAATGTTATAAAGCAAGTTTGGTTGGTACCATAGTTAGTAAACATAGCCAGATGTGTGTGTGTTTGTTTGTTTCTTTAATTAATCACATATTTCTTTGGTGGTTTCTAAATAACTTATATTGGTTTCTATATTATAATAGCCAACTTTATAAATAATTATTGAGATGTTTTTAAATCATAGATACTTTTTAGCAAAAATGTATTTTTTTAAATAATGACAAGCTTGTTGAAAGTCTTGCAGCATGGCAAATTTAGTAGAGCAAAATAAAATAAATGAGAAACTAATGTGAGAACATTTCAGAAATACTGTCCTATTTCAAATTGGATGTGTATGTGTAAAAGCAGAAAATAGCATATAAAGAATAACAGTGATGGTGAACCTATGATACGCATGTCAGAGGTGACACGCGAACTCATTTTTTTGGTTGATTTTTCTTTGTTAAATGGCATTTAAATATATAAAATAAATATCAAAAATATAAATCTTTGTTTTACTATGGTTGCAAATATCAAAAAATTTCTATATTTGACACGGCACCAGAGTTAAGTTAGGGTTTTTCAAAATGCTGACACGCCAAGCTCAAAAGGTTCACCATCATTGGAATAGGATCAAGATTCTTTCCACTTTACATCTGAGACTTTTAATATTTCTGTTTCTCTCTGACCCCAAAGAAAAGCCCAGCCTTACAACAATAACAAAATCCAAAAACTCACACATTATTTCCGTAACCATCACTATGGTGCACAGCAGCAGCCCCAGGGAAGTTTTTTCAAAGTAGACGTCAGGGCCTTACTCCCAGTGATAGGGCTCCAGTACATATATTTTCAGGCTTCAGCATGTGTATTTTGAGAGAGCTCCCCAGATTTAGAGGTACATGCCTGGTTTAGTATTACCAAATTAATCTTTTCACAGGTGAGCTGTGTTTAGATGTCTTCTAAGAACACATCAGAAATGCAATTTAATGAGCTCTTCTTTCATGTCAAAACGAGAATATATACGTAATTTTTAAGAATATCAGCTATCAAATCTTAAGACCTGATCAGGTAATATTAAATCACCCAGAAAGTTGTAGCCAGGATTATAGTCATGATAGACTGTGTGTGGACCAGCCCTAGCAAATAGCTAAAAAACCTGTTTTCTCTAACAGACTTGCCCTGACCAAGAGAGTTGTGCTCAAATATTGAGTCCCTTGGTCCTGAACACCCCCCACCCCCACACCCCTTCACTCTCCACCTTTCACCTCCCCACTGCCTCCCCAATATATCAGAACAAGTATTTTCTGTAAATTCATTGATGTGAAAGGTTGGGAAGTAGTAGTCCAGAAGATCTATTGGAAATAATAAGGTTTGATTGTTCTGAAGGGGTGTGTGTGTGTGTGAGTGTGTGTGTGTGTGTGTGTGTACCAATACGAGCTAGTAGGTAAACTTTGATTCTCAACTTTTTCTGTACCCATACCATTTGCACACACTATACTTCACCAGTTACATCAAGGCCTTTTTGAAAAATGGGTGAAAGGTTGAAAATATAATTTAACTTATTAGGGTTTGGTCACCAAATTTTTGCTATTTAGAAATTTTAAATTGCAAAATATCGAGTTAAATGACCAAAGTAGAAATTCTTAATGAGAGACTTAAAAGTTTAGAGAAAAAGACACTTTTGCAGAGATAAGGGCTGGGGTAACCATTAATTAGCCTCTGGGCTTTGTAGTGTAAGTGTAAGATGTCTGTAAAAATTAAAGGATTTATACTTTGCAAATAAGAAATACAGGTATATTTTCTGCTTTTGAAGAACTTTTCTGTTTTTACCAAATTGAAGCAGTAACAAAATATGCTTTTAACCAAGCTCAATTATTAAACCTTATAATTATGTTTTTTTAAAATTTCCTACTATTTTTAGGTTGCAGAAGTTTTACAAGTACCTCCCATGAGAGTATATGAAGTAGCAACTTTTTATACAATGTATAATCGAAAGCCAGTTGGAAAGTATCACATTCAGATCTGCACTACTACACCTTGCATGCTTCGAAACTCTGACAGCATACTGGAGGCCATTCAGAAAAAGCTTGGTATGGGACACATTATACGTATAACTTTTATGAAAATTATAATTGTCTTTCTAGAGTTGATCAATTTCTACCTAACTTTTCCAACTTTTGTCATCTTATTGGATCTCTACTTCATGAGTAAATTTTGTCTTACTGTTTGTCTACATTTATTTCTTATTTTGTTCTCCTAGTTCTCAGCCTCAAAGTTGAATTTTCATCTTATCTTTTTCTAGTCATTAAGTATGTTGGAAAAGCTAGGAATTTTAAAGTTTTCATTATTTACAAATTAAGTTTCATTGTGTAATAATAGCATGTGGTATGTAAAAAGTGACTATCTTATCCTTAGGTCCTTTCAAATTAGCCTTTGGACAAATAAAATAGTAAGAATGTGTCAGGAAGAGAAATTTGAAATGGGGTTTTATTATAGTAGCATTTACAAAATTGAAAGGGCATTTTTCCACACAAAACTGTCATTACTGCACATATAACTTTACATAAGTAAAGTAAAAGGAGGTTTTTGGTTTTTTTTAAAATTTTTGTTACTGAATATAAAGTACTTGGATGTGGTAAAATTTGAGCAGTATTGAAGTATATATAACAGAAATCTGAAATCTGTTCATAATCGTACCCTCCACCTTCAAGATACAAATTCTGATAATAGTTGAATAATTAGTTTCAGGTTTTATATTGTTTTCATTATTGAATACATAAATGTAATGTGTCTGTGTGCTTTTTGTACTTTTTTTGACTACAGCATAATAAGTATGTCTGCCTCATATTTCTATTATCTCTTAAGTTATTTTGCGGTTACTTTTATGTATATTCCTCTTTGCATACCTGCTATATATACTGAGATTATTTACAGGAAGTAGAATTGCTGTGTCAGGTTTTGACAAAATGCCTTCTCTAAAGATATTAGAGTAATTGTTTTCCTCTCATTCTATTTTTAAATTTATTTTTTTTATCCTTATCCGAGGATATTTTTCTATTGATTTTTAGAGAGATGGAAGAGAGAGGGAAAGACAGAGAGAAATATCGATGTGAGAGAAACACATTGATTGGTTGCCTCCTGCAAGCGCTCAACCAGGGCTTGGGCTGAGGAGGAGCTTGCAACCATGGTACATGCCCTTGACCAGAATCAAACCCGGGACCCTTCAGTCCACAGGCCAACGCTCTATCCACTGAACCAAACCAGCTAGGGCGTCACATTCTTAATGATGTTTGATATTAGCAGTTTTCTGAGTCTTTGCTAGTCTTACAATATGATTTTAGTAGGTTAATTATCACTGTCAAAATGAAAATTGTACTGTTGGTTTTACTGCTATTTGACAACAAACACTGGAGATAAGTCACCTGAAATTTGATTGTTTTAAAGGAACGAGTTCACATAAGAAATCCTTGAATTTTCTAGTATAATTGTGCAGGCTTGTTTTGTTTAAGAAATTTAGTGCTCTTAAATATTTTTTGTATATCTCCGTAACATGTCGTTGGTTTTCTTTTCTTTTTTTCTTAAATCATATTGCTATTAAAATATAACCGGGGGGGGGGGGGGAGCAGGGGCGAGCTGAAGGGGATCAGTGGGGGAAAAAAGGGGACATATGTAATACTTTCAACAATAAAGAATTATTTATAAGTTTAAAAAAACTGGAAAAAATATAACCTGGTCCTAACAATGATCATTTATATTTTTAGGAATAAAGGTTGGAGAGACTACACCTGACAAACTTTTCACTCTTATAGAGGTGGAATGTTTAGGGGCCTGTGTAAATGCACCAATGGTTCAAATAAATGACAACTACTATGTGAGTATTTCATTTAATATGAATTAAAACTGTCTGATGTCATGTTTAAAATACTTATTTTCCCGGCCTATAAATGTTGGTTTCTAAAGTATGCATTTAGAAGAAACTTGGCATAAATATCCAAGGTTTGTTTTGTTTGTTTCTTTCTTGGCTTCCTACTTATAAAAATGTCATAGGAATGGAAAACCTTTCATAAAAAATGTCAATTTTAGCTTCCACGTTATTGCCCATCAGGTAGTTTTTAAAAATTTATCTTTAAATATTTTTGCATTTAAGTCTTGGAGGTAATATTTTTAAAACTTTTAAATTATGAAAAATTTAATTTACATACAAATACAGAAAATAGCTATCAAGATTTAACAGATAATAATACTTTCCACACTTAAGGAAATTATTTTTATCCTTATTATTATTTGTAGGATTAACCTACAGATGCAAGTAAACTATTCTCATTACCACCAAAAATCCTATTCCTTTCCATTCATTCCCAGAGGTAACCACTATCATAAATTCAGTGTATATTCTTCTTGTACATGTTTTTAAACTTTTAAAATATATGTATAAGTTACACTAATAATGTAATACTATATTGCTTTTTCTAACAATTTTATAGAGGTGGTATCATACCTGTCTTTTAGTACTGTTTTAGCCAGGTCTCACAAGTTTTGATAAGTAATATTTTCTTCATTTAGTTCTAAATATTTTTAAATTTGCAGTTTTTTCTTAAACATGTTTTTAATATCCAAGTGGGTGGAGTATAGTTATCTTTTTTTAATTGCCTGCTACCCTAATTGTATCACGGTTTTCATTCATAATATCTTGTTAGCTCATACTTCTTAGAAATTTGCTCATGGAAATTCTTAGAGTCCTGTATTAAAGGTGGATTCTTCAAGAAGAGATTTGCTTTGCTACTGTCTTGCTCCTGGAAATGCTACTGTCCCAAAAGAGAGACCCTCTCTTTAAACCCTTCCCTCAGCCTTCAATGTGTAAGATTCTAAGCTAGCAGACTTTTTAGGGACAGTTTAATTTCTGTTTACACTTATATTGAGGATATAGCTTTTTGGGGTCTTAACTTCATGTGATTTGGATGTTTCTTGTGACCTGGGGCTTTGTCCCTTGCCCCTCCAGACCAGTGGGGGGGGGCAAGGGACAAAGCACATCTCATAGCACATAAACTAATTACTAAAATTCTGCAGCATCTCATAGCACATAAACTAATTACTCATCTCATAGCACATAAACTAATTACTAAATTAGTAATTTTCATCTCATAGCACATAAACTAATTACTAAAATTCTGCAGTATACCAAAAAATATATATTTTTGCCAATCTGACCAAAAAAAAAACCCCAAAGGATATAATTGATTCATTCACACCAGACAGCTATTATTGTATTGGCTGTTGTCATTTTTTTTTTTATTTGACAACCTAAGGGAAAAGAGTTCAGTGCCCCTGACTAAGGAGTCAGGTATTTCATATTTTAAAAAATTCCTGTGGCACACCAGTTGAAAATTGCTGCTCTAGACTATGAAATCCTGAAGCCAAATTTGCATGGTGTTCTACCTCTCTCTACCTGAATTTTGAGGTTTTGGTTTCTGGGTATTTCTTTGCCAGTATATTGATGAAATTTAAAAGCACCTGTAGTTGTTACAACAAGAAGTTCAGTCAGGATAGTTATTCTGCCATAATGCCTGAAATGGATATCTATAACTTTTTTAATGAAGATGAAATTATATTTCTTTGGCCTTTTAGATTTCTAGGGTGTTTTCATTCCCTATAGTGATATTCTTTATTTTAATGATCAGTGATTTAAATTTCTTCTCCATTTCCCCTACTTTAAAAAAAAGTCCTTAAAAAATATGGCAACAACTTTCTCTTTTCCAACATTCTGCAATTTATTCATAATAATGAGGATCTTGATTTAAGCAAGAATTAGAGTGGCCAAGGCTTTCTTTGAAGCATAATAAGTCTAAATATGGTAGCCTATGGACTTACCCAAGAGCTAAAGATTCTTTCAATTAGTATAGTCTTTGGCAAGGCAATTAGTAACTTGTATGTATCTCAGTTGATGAGTGGATAAAATGAAATAGTCACATAAACTTGGATTGGATCCTACCTGGGGAAAACACAGTTACCACATTTTGATGATGGTTAGATAGATTTGAATATGGACTTGACATTTGATTTTATTAAAGGAATTATTGTTAGCTAATGAGGTGTGGAAATGGCATTATGTTATTTAAGAAAATTTTCTTATTCTTAGGAAATGGCTTCCTGAAGTATTAGGGATGAAGTGTTATAATGTCTGCAACTTGCTTTCAAATGGTATAGCCCCAAAGCATGTGTGTACATAATGAAAATATGGCAAATTAAAAATTGTTCAGTCTAGGTGGTAGGGATATGGTATTCATGTATAGTTTTCAAATTCTCATAATAAAGATTTGGGGGAGGAATAAAATCAGTAGATAATTTAAAGATGTATTCTAGCTATGAAGTTCTTAACATCTGTTAAACCCTAAGCAGTTTCAAAGCAGCTTTTTAGTTTCAAAAATGTTTCATTATTAAACAATATTAAAGGCAATTTTTGACTAGGCACTGGAAATATAGTATTGAATCATGATTTCTCTAGCATTTTCTCATTTAATTCTCAAGTAAGTTTACAAATGAAGAAACAGACTTAGGGAGGCTAAGTAACTTGCTAGGTGGTACTGCAAAACATTTTGTTAAATACTGAACAGTTTTAGAGGGGGATGAATGGATATAATGTAGTTTAGATAGTTTTCTCCTAGTTTAATCTTACCATTCTGTTTGACTCTTTTGATTAAATGTAGGTTGCAGCAACTAGGCATACGAGTGGGCATGTGTTTATGTGTTTTATTTCTTTTTTTATTTTAAATAACAGAACCCTTTCTTGAGTCAAATATTTTACACAGGTGTAGTGTGTAAAGTATAGAGCTGTTCTAGTTGAAATGGGGTTTTGAGGGTCTGCATCATTAAAATGTGTCAAAAATAAGGTGGGTTTTTGTTGTTGTTTTCTTACCTTTCCCTTTGAAAATTAAATGAATTTTGAAATGGTAAAATTCACCTGGGAAAAGAAGATATCCCTAGGATATTAGATCTTTAGGTTAGGGATAGATATTAGTCATCTACTTTTAAGTTACTATGTCTGCTGGTGCTATTTTATTTACTACTAGAGGCCCAATGCACAAAATTCGAGGAAGGGTAGGCCTTTGCAGCCCTGGCTGCCTCACGGCCCTGCCCCCCTCCCACACCCACCTTGGCCTGGTGCTGCCCACATCCGCTGCCACATACCCCCGGTTCCCCGGTTCCGCAGAGCCCCCCGATGATCGCCCCACATAGGGTGGTCTGGGCCTCCCTCTTTGGGGCAATTGCGGAGCCCCCCCATTGATCGCCCCTTTGGGTGGTGGCCTGGGCCTCCCTCTGCAGGGAAATGGTGGAGTGATGGTGGGCCCCCCGACCAATCACATCGCACCCGCCTTGGCTGGCCTGGCACCAGTGCGTGTCGCGTAGCGTGGTAGTCCAGACGGTCGTTCTGCTGTTTGGTTGATTTGCATGTTACACTTTTATTATTATAGATGTGCTGCCTCAGCATTGTTGAGCATGTGCCATAGATAGCACCGTTCTGCTTTATATATTTTCTCATTTAATTAATTCTCAAGTAGGTTTACAAATGAAGAAACAGACTTAGGGAGGCTAAGTAACTTGTCTGAGATTACTAGCTCGTAAGTGATAGGGTTGAGGACTCAAATGCAGAACTGTTTCGCTCCAAAGCACTACTCTATTGCTTCTTTAGCTGCAGCTCTTAATACATACAGCATTTAGCAGTTTATACTATATGTAGAAGTTACTCCATTGCTGCTATCTTGGTAGCTAACTTGTAAGTTGAGAAAGGCAAATAATAAACTAATTGATATTAGGGATTTGCACAGAGTTCAAGTAGAAAGTAATTTTTTTAAAAAAATACATTTTTATTGATTTCAGAGAGGAAGGGAGAGGGAGAGAGAGATAGAAACATCAATGATGAGAGAGAATCATTGACTGGCTGCCTCTTACATGCCCCCCACTGGGGATTGAGCCTGCAACTCAGGCATGTGACCTTGACTGGAATTGAACCTGAGACCCTTCAGTCTGCAGGCTGATGCTCTATCCACTGAGCCAAACCAGCTAGGGCGAAAGTAATTTTAATATTTTTTTTTTATAGGAGGATCTGACACCTAAGGATATTGAAGAAATTATTGATGAGCTCAAGGCTGGCAAAATGCCAAAACCTGGGCCAAGGTACGCTTTTATTTTTATATAATAAATTTTAATGGTTTAACCTAAAGTAGTCTTTCATGTAAACTGATGGTAAGACAACACTTTCTTTATTTTGACATTATAAACAAGTATTTGTGTGCTGAGATTGTTCTTATTTTAAGTTAAAGTATTGAAAATAACTTCTAAACTTGTTTTCAAATTATTAAATAGAAGTTTATTTTTCAGTATGGATTAGCTAAAAATAATTTTGAATTCTTCATGTTTAGTTTTATAAAGACATCTTAAATTTTGCAGAATTCTGTGGGATGCAGAATATTTTAGATGTAAAAAATATATAGGTAGGCTATAAGTATACATAAAAATATATAGGTGGTGGCCAATGGATAACTCTAGACATTAAAGTCACTTTTTTTATATAATAAAAGTAGGGACAGTGGTGGATATATCTCAACAATATTAGCACTAAACTTTCATTAAATAGATTTTCTTTAAAAAGCACTTTTTTAAGCCATAAAATCTGTATAGAGCTGCTCTTTCTATGGAGCATGTCTGCCCTCGCCTTTCCCTAACCTCTTCCCTCAGGTGCATTTTCCTTGCCTTTCTCCTAAGCTCCAAAGGCCCTTTTTATACCTAGGTAACCTGTTTCCTGAGCTCATTTCTTCTACGGCTCACTTCTTCTACCTCTGTGACTTTCTAAATAAACTCTTATTAAAAAAAAAATATATATATATATATATATATATATATGTATATGAGATCAAGCTTTCTAGAATGCAAATGAGTTAAAATGATGAATGTACAAATAGTGTTGGAATGGCTAGAAAAAACAGATTTACCTCTTGAATTGTGATGAAGAGAACAGTAATTAGTGGATGGCATTTTAATCATAAATTATCAGGAAAACAATTTTTGGTTTTTATTAAGTGAAAACCCTAATTTAAATTGTAACTGTCAGGTGAATGAATAGGGCTTAGATCACTGCCTCTCTATTTGCGTTCTGAGGAATGCTTACAGATAAAATGAGGAAAGTTACAACTAGTAGATAAAACAAAGTTTGTAGGCTTTACTGGAAGATTTTACTGCCTTTATAATATTTTAGTATGTCTTTTGTGAATGGTAGGGGAAGGAGAACATTTGTAGGCAGACATAAGAACCCCTGGGGCTCTGTTTTTCCCCTCAAGTATGTCATGGGACTGTCATTTCATAGAACAAACTTTAGGAATCTGGACCAGGTTATTCTTAAAATAACTGTCTTCTATAAAATTCTATAATCCTGTGAAGAACTCAGGCAGTATACATAATTAACTCTTCCATTTATTCCAGAAATTTTGGTTTTTATAATCTTCTTAAATCAGAGCTTTGTGTGGATAAAGAGCTTAAACCACAAGGGGGAACCTAGTAAAAGAGCAGCAGGTATACCTGTGTGACTAGTTAACATAAAAAAATTACAAAGCCAAGTATTGTTTTTATTAAAGCTAAATGTTATTTTGCCATTTACCCTGAAACTTTCAGGCTTTGACATTACACAGGGTCTGCTTTTTGATCTGGTTTTCATAGTAACTTATAATACAAATATACTAATTTCTGACTTTGTAGCCATTCTTCATTATAATACTCTACTTAGCTACTTGCATTATGTAATGTACTAGTAATAGCTAGAAAGATCTTATAAATGATTGTGGTATCACTTTTCTGTCCTCTCAATAAAAAATGATTTCCTAGGACTTGAAAACAGACTTACAAGATTAATGACAGAATGTGAAGGGCAAAGCCAGAGGGAGTAAAAAGATGTAAATTGAACAAATTCTTCAGCTAAAATCGATGGGAGGAACAAAGTAAATGAACAAAGCTAGGGAATAGGAGGTGTGAAATGGTAGGTGCTGAGTTGGGCTCTAGCAACAGAGGTTAGACAGGGCAGAGGTTGAGCGAATACCTGGGAAAGTATGTGTGTGGGTGAAACAAAAACCAGACAGGTTCTTCTACCTCTGTGTTGCTTTTCTTCATAGATTCCTATATAAGTACCTGTTCTTGTTTCCTTTCTGGCTATTAGCAACCCTGGTCTGGGTCCTGTTTTTGAAAAATTAGTACTATTATGGCCTAAAAACATAAATACAAATAGATTTTGTATTTACTACTTCTAAGAGACATCCCTCCCAAATCTTCAAATTCCTCAAGGAATCCAGTTTCTATTTAAAGTATAATATATAAGTGTGTATTCCCTCTGTTCACAATGACAGATCTCATTCTAAATAAAATCCAAATATAAAAGATGTAGTGTCTAGTTTATTAAAACATGATTTTTTAAAATGTCCTCTGGGTTAGGTTATTTTCCTGTAGTTAAGCTCTGATACTGGGGCACTTGCTGAATCCCCCAATACTTGGTTTCTGTATAAAATAAGGCCAGTAATCACTTATCTCATGGCATTGTTGAGATTAAAGGAACTAATACTGTATATACACTGCTCAATAAATGGGAGCTAGTATTAGGTTATTTTTATATTTTTCATATTTATATAGTGAATTTGATATGTCAGTTTTCATGTTTAACTTTACAAAGAGAAAATCTTGCAGCAGTTGAAATGTTTGGATTAAATAATATATGCTAGCTATTAGGTGAAAAATAGTTACTTAACTGGGCTGTTGTGAGGTAACAGTTACAATTTTTTAAGTAAAAATTTATAAATAGTAATAATAATAGTCAATTTAATGTTAACTTGCTTTTCTTTTCAGGAGTGGACGCTTCTCTTGTGAGCCAGCTGGGGGTCTTACCTCTTTGACCGAACCACCCAAAGGACCTGGTTTTGGTGTGCAAGCAGGCCTTTAATTTATATTCAACTGTAAATATGTCACTGGAGAAATAAAATATGAATTTCCTATCTACATAAATTTTTAATATTTATTTCAACCTGTGAACACCTTATTGGTAACTTAGCAACTTATAGTTCTGTAAGTATCATGTCAAACTTAATAGCTCCATTTTTTTTTTAAATCCTCACTTGAGAATATGTTTCCATTGATTTGAAAAAGAGAAAGAGAAACATTGATTGGTTGCATCCACCTTTTGGTGTATGAGACAACACTTCAACCTACTGAGCCACACCGGCCAGGGCTTCAAAGCTCCATTTTAAAGTCTTCTGCTAGCTTTGGCTAACTATGAAGACGTTATTCCATAATCTAGTTAATAGTAACTCCAAAACCCCATTCCCACTCCTATTTTCAACTGCCAGGTTATTTTTATCAAGATTACAGGTTATTGTGAAATAAAAATTCAAATTTCAAATACATTTTGCTTTTCCATGTTTAGCCATAGCCAAGTCTTAAGTTAACATGATCTTTCTATAAACTTTATTTATGCCAGTGCACTCTTGAAATATTTTTATATTTACAGCATACAATTGTTACTGTATTTCCAACTGTGGTGATACTTCAAGTAGACTGTAAGTGTTAGGAGGATAAGGTAGTTGTTTGTAGGTCATTTGAGTTGAATCTTGCTTAATTTTTTTTGCCCATTTTTCTTGAAAATCTATTATATTCAACACAAAAGCACTGTTTCTAATGATGATGTCCTGAATAGCTTTTAAAAACATTTGGCAGGTAAAATTTCACTACAATAATCCAAGATGGTTCCAAAATGTATATGGATACAGTGAGTAAAATTTCCTTGCCAATTTCCAGGAGCTGGAGGTAACAGCTATGTCCTAGCCTATGTGTTTACCACCACTCAGTCCTTCACTTCTTCTCAGTTCTTAACTGTGCTGGTTTTAAAAAGGTACATTTGGGGAGGAAATTTACTTATTGCTATTTAATGGCAAAAATAAACTAAAAATTCAACTTTTCATCCTCCCTGTTGGCAAAAAATCTTAATATCTGTTTTGGTTTTTGAATTGCTACTGAAAGTTATTAGGGGAAAAGTTACTGATTGCTCAGATTTACTTGCTGTAACTGGAAGAGGCCATTGCTCCAGAAAATTCTACAGCACATAATAGTTTTGCAGCCCTGGCCAGTGTGGCTTGGTTGGTTGGAGTGTTGTCCCGAACACCAAAAGGTGGTAAGTTCGAATCCCAGTCAGGGCAGGTACACAGGTTGCGGCTCCTGGGGGAGGCACCTAGATGTTCTTTCTTTTCTCTCTCTCTCTCTCTCTCTCTCTCTCTCTCTCTCTCTCTCTCTCTCTCTCTCTCTCCCCCCCCCTTCTCTAATAATTTTAAAATTTTGTTTAAAAAGTACTCATTGCAAAGGCCTTACATCTGTAGAGACTAAGTCATATGATAATTTATCATCTGAGATTTTATTTTACATTTATTATATTCACCTTCCTGAAGTATGGCAGTTGTTAAAAAATTTTTTTTAAATATTTTTTTAATTGATTTTTAGAGAGGAAGGGAGAGGGGGAGACACAGAGAGAAAAACATTGACTTGAGAGGAAACATCAGGGGAAAATCAATTGGCTACCTTCTGCACACCCCCTACCTGGGGCCCAGCCAGAAAGCCTAGGCATGTGCTCTGATTGGGAATTGAATGACAACCTTTCAGAGCATGGGGAGATGTCCAACCAACGTAGCCATACTGGCCAGGGCTGGCAGCTTTTTGAATGATCTAACTGGACTTACTGTAGTTCAAACATAAGGGTCATTAATGCTAAAAGTGTGAAGCTCTAAATAAGTTGGAAAGTAGATTTTGTAGAATGGGTTCTAGTTCATATAAATCAAATATACACATTTTGGGTGTCTGCTAATAATAACTACTCCTAATTATATGTGATAAAATTTTTCTTTGACTAAGAGTGATGTTTAATGCTTGAGGTCCTTGATCTCCTGGTACTGTAAGGAAAACATATTTTACCCACTTGCTGAAGATGGATTCTAGGACTTGAACCAACGAAAAACCAAGCTATACAGTTTGAAGCCTTATTAGCAGCTTACTAATCAACTAGTTTTCTTCAGGCTTCTTTTGAGACCTATTCATAATATCTATAATAAGAATTACTTTCTTGCCCTGGCCGGTTTTGCTCAGTGGATAGAGCGTCGGCCTGCGGACTCAAGGGTCCCAGGTTCGATTCCGGTCAAGGGCATGTACCTGGGTTGCAGGCACATCCCCAGTGGAGAGTGTGCAGGAGGCGGCTGATCGTTGTTTCTCTCCCATCGATGTTTCTAACTCTCTATCCCTCTCCCTTCCTCTCTGTAAAAAAATCAAAATATATTTTTTTTTTTTAAAAAGAATTACTTTCTTGATTTATATTTCTAGTTTCACATCGAAAAGGAAAATAAGGTCCTCTTGTCTTCATGAGTTTCATTAGAACCTTTCAAATAACAGATTGTTCCTGATTTATAATTTTCCATGTATAATCTTAATATGAGCTTCATTAAAAGATTTTTTGCAACTTGATTTCTACAAATAACTTTTACAGGTAGTGTCCTATTGAGCATAGTCAATAACAGTAACTTGGATCATGATTGCCTATGAGTCTTCCTGTATTCATTGATTTTGATAGGTTGTATATATGGCTGCTGCCATAAATTATGGTTAATGTACTTCAGCAAATTCAAGATTAGCTACCTTTCAATTTTTAAGTGAGGTACTTAGTGTTACAGAAATAGCTATTCCCATTGAAATCAATACTACTTGACCTCTATGACAGTGACTTAAATGAGAACCAATTCAAATGACTTAAGCGATATCAGTTATTTAAATGTTTAATGGATTTCTTTTTTCTTTGTATTTCATGCCAAAAATATCCAAATTAAATTTAATAATCTTCCATCTCTAGCCACAAGGTGCTCAATTAATATTGACCCTATGTTTTAGAGTAGGGAAATGAGGAACCTAGGGGGGGAAAAATAGTGATCTTTAATGCAGGTTTATGCTTTATGTAGTAATTTGTTGGGATTTAGCTTTCTCTGTCAGGTCTGAAATGGCACATCTGTGATTGGTGACAAAGTTGTAACTGTACTCGTCACAGGTGGGTGTTGTAGCTTAGAGGCCACTATTAATGATGCAAGAAGTGGTTTCACTCCAATTATAATCCCTTTGGTGGTTAAATAAGGCATGTACACAATTTCAAGAGTTACCCTCTTTTTAATTGCTCTTGACCGGAATCGAACCCAGGACCCTTCAATCCGCAGGCCGTCGCTCTATCCATTGAGCAAAACCGGCTAAAGCGAGAGTTAACCTTGATGTAAATAAAGCGCCCAGAAGGAAGTCAGAATAAAATGGTTTCCTTCCGATTATGTAACCCTTTTGGTGGTTAAATAAAAGCATGTACAAATTGTCGCAGATTAAACTCAATATAAGTAAGACGCGTCCAGAAGGAAGTCCACCTGCTGCTGGGAGAGGGTAAATTTTCCTCATGCACTCTTCTCCAGTACCTGAGAAGTTCCCTCTTAAATACCAAACTCGATGTAGAAAAATGCACTTAAATTTCTTTACGAAGGTCATTGGGAGGTGTGAATGGGAGAGCGTATTGAGTCTGTGCTGTCTCAGGTGCACGTTCACGTTCTTTCGGGGCGGCATTGCGGACCCACCTGGCGCTGGTGAAAGTCCGCACGCAGCGGCTCCGGCTCCGTGGAACTCCCAGGCACTGGTCGGGGTCCCGCAGGGTCCAGCACAGGTGTTGCCGCGCAGGCGCCCTGCTGTGCGGGCAAGGGCGGTCCGCCTCCCCCGATGCCCACAACATAGCGGTAGATACCCCTCCTTTGCCTCTAGCCGAGATCGCAGCATCATTTTCCCCGACCGAGCTCGCAAACTTGTCCACATGCAAAAATAACGTGAATACCCTATCTAGAGTCTCATTTTCATCGCCGTCGTCGCCATTTCCTGAAACTTGCAGTCCTATCCATTGCCCTTGTCGCCACAAAAAGCTATTGCAGATCCCGCCTGGCCCAGCAGCGTCAGCGTCAGCGGCGCCTGCGCCTCTTCTGCTCACCCTTCGATTCCTCTTCCCCGCGCCGGCTTAGGGGAAGCAGTGACAGCCGGGTGGGGTGGGGAGGCGAACCAGAGCGCCGGGAGGAGTTCCGACCGCACCTCCCCACCTCCACCCCCCACTTGGTACGCTCCCACCGCCTCGCCCGCCGCTGACACTGAGCTGAAAGAGAGGCGGGCCGCGGGGAGGGGCCGGCGGAAAGGGCGGGGCGGTCACGCCGCCTGTCCCGTGCCCGCGGAGTCACGTGCCCGCGCCGCAGCCAATCACCGGGCGGCGCTGCCCTGAGAGCGAGGAGGCTGTGGTGAGAGACAGACCGAGACCGGAGATGTTTTTAAGCCCGGCGCTGGCGGCGTTAGTGGCGGTTGCAGCGGCGACGAAGACTACGACAGCGACGGCAACACCTAGGCACTCGCTCAGGGGCTAAAGCCGCCGGTGTCGACGGTGCCTGGGGTCCGTGAGTGTGAGGGGGGCGTGGCGACAGGCGAGGAGGAAGGAGGGGCGCGGTTTCGACCCCGTCCCCGGCGTCCGGGAGGAGACCGTCAGTTCTGCGCTGCACCCGTCCCCCTCCCCAGAGCAAGGTAGGGGACGTGCCCTGCCCACCTCGTTCCTTTCCGCGCCACCGGGCTGGCCCGGGGAGCCGCCGGGCTGGCGGTGACAGGCCGTTAGTGGCCGGGCGCGGGGCCACCCCGCCCGCCGCCGCCCCTCCAGCCGTGTTGGGGAGCCGCGGCGCAGCTGGCAGCTGCCGGCCGGGCGAGGGGCGCCGCGCGGGGCGGGGGCCGGGCGGGGTGCCCCCCGCCACCACTCCCCGTTCCCGGGGCTGGGCTGCCGCTGCCGCCACTCGGAACATGGCGGGGTCGGGAGGAGCGTGTGCGTGTGAGTGCGCGCGACCGAGAGGGCGCCGCCGGCTTGCCGCGACCGGACCCGGCAGGGCGGGGCGGGAGGGGGCGGGGGCGCGCCCAGCCCGCGGCCC